CGAAACACACAGTGGGCTAGAGTGAGCGGAGGCCGGCTTGAGTGAGCAGAGGCGGGCGGGCTTGAGAACGGCGAGGCCGGTGGATTCGACGAAGGAGCGTCCGGCGGGCTTGCAGCAACCTCATGTGACGACCCCGGGCTGGACTCCGCTTCGTCCACGGTGAAAGCCGATCCAGAGCCGATCCAGCGATCCACAGCGCGAAGTTGATGTATTTCCTCAGCGACCAGCACGGATCAGCTCCAGGCATGAAGATGAAGATGATATCGTCCTCTTTTGGAAGGCCAAACAAAGTAGTTTTGCTTTCACAACGAAACACACAGCGCCTTCACAACATGGCAGCGGCAACAACAATACAGCAAGAACAAAAGTTACGTCTTCTTTCTTTGCGTGAACATTTGGACGGCGTTATGCAAATCTTCCCACATCGTGACGTAGACATTTGGGGGCGTGTTAGAACGAGCCGTTTTAGGTAGGCGTGGTTGACTCTTAACTTTTATAAAGAATATCTCTTTGGATTTGAGACTTTAGTCTTTGCAACTTTACAGATCTTCTTTATGCACCAAGAGCTTGTAACACTCCAAAGAGAAAGGAAAAATTGAAATTGCATCATATGACCCCTTTAAAAAATATATGTTATGTTTATATATTAAATATACAGTGTCGTGAAAAGGTTTTTGCCACCTTACCGGTTTTTTTTTTTGCATATTTGTCACACTTAAAAGATTCAGATCATCAAACAAATTTTAATATTACACAAAGATAATGCAAGTAAATAGAAAATACAGTTTTTAAATGATGATTTAATTTATTAAGGAAAAAAAGCTGCCCAAACCTGCCTGGCACTACGTAAAAAAGTAATTGCCCCCTTAAATCTAATAACTGTTACTAAAACTAATAAGTTTCTTGTAATGAGGACTTTCTTGTAATCAAAACTTTATTTCTCGTAATTGAGATTATTTAATTTGTGAATGAACAGAATTCCCATTCCCCAGAATCAGCAGCAAATTGTAATAGGGAGGAAAATTCAATTATGAAAAATAAAGTTTTAATTATGAGAAATAAAGTTCAATTTAAATTTGGGAAATAGTCTTAATTCTGTTAATTACTGTTAATTAAATTGTGAAGAAGTCAGCAGATTTGACCTGATGATGTTGCTCAGTCTTCTGCGTAGATAATTAACCTACTAATAGTTTCCACAAAATCAATTTTACATGGTCATTTTTAAAGATGCGGTTAATGCAAATCTTACAATGATGAAGGGAAAGAGAGGTAAACCCAACCAGTACACAAAAAAGCTTCCAAAAACACTCCCACAGTATATGACCTGAACACTGGTGAATAATAAAAACATTGATATTCTAATCATCTTTATACCTGTGCGGGATCCAGGGGGTTTGGATATATGGCACTGCAGGGTCTCTCTCGCGGCGAGAGGCAGTTCTCTCGGGAATGCTTGTGTTTATCTGACAACTGTGGAGAACCTGTGAAGGGTGAGGAGGTGTAAGCAAGGGTGTGATTTCAGCAACACACCGACACAAATGCCC